TAGGTTCTAAGGAGGAGAAGACAAGACCTCACAAAAATGAGGTCAACACCTACCTCAAAAATCGGATGCCCTCTCGTATTCTGGGTTTCCGTAGTCCATTCGATGTCCTCCTTCGCTCCTTTCCAAATACATGTACACTCTCTTCAGTTGTCCCTACCAAACTATTTGGTTGTTCCGTCTTTGTTCATATTCACAAACAACACCGCTGTAAATTAGACCCCAAATCTGTCAAATGCATACTCATAGGGTATTCGACCAACAAGAAAGGCTACAAGTGTTATTGTCCTTCAACTAAAAAGGTCTATAATTCTATGTATGTCACCTTTTTTTAGCATCAATTATACTATCAAGGGTCTGTCATTCAGAGGGAGAGTAGTCATAGTGAACAACAGCCCTGTGTTCCTTTGCCAACTGACACGGGTCCCTCATCGACTGTCAAACCTCCTCCATCTCCTATTCAACCTCCCCAGTCTACACAACCCACTCCTCAGGAACTTCGGGTCTATACAAGACGAAACAGAACTGCTGAAAGAATAGAGAACCTAACACCGCTTCCAGCTGCTGTCCAAGAATCTAATCCGGCTCCAAAACCCTCTAAAACTCACTCAGGTACGGAATCTATAGACACTAGTGATTATGAGCTTACCCGCCCTGTGAATGATGATTCTGATGTGCTTACCCCGCCTGTGAAAGATGATTCTGATGTTCCTTGTACTCAACATCCTATTGCCCGATTTGTTTCATATGAGAGGTTATCTCCTCCCTATCATACATTTGTAACTGCGATTGACAGCATAAAGGTTCCAAATCCTATTCAGGAAACTCTCTCACACCCGGAATGGAGAAAAGCTGTGAATGAAGAAGTTGCTGCACTAGAAAAGAGTGGAACGTGGATTGTGTCTGATTTGCCCAAGCATACGAGACCAGTAGGATGCAGGTGGTTATTTACAATCAAATGTAAGGCAGACGGAAGCATAGATCGATTAAAAGCCCGACTGGTTGCAAAAGGTTATACTCAGTCATATGGAATTGACTACCAAGAGACATTTGCCCCAGTAGCCAAACTGAACTCCATTAGAATCCTACTCTCCATTGCAGCAAACCGAGACTGGCCCCTTATGCAACTTAATGTCAAAAATACATTCCTTAATGGAGATCTTGAAGAGGATGTATACATGGATTTACCGTCTGGTCTTGAAGGGTCCTTCCCTAGTGGCAAAGTATGCAAGCTCCAGAAATCTCTGTATGGTCTCAAACAATCTCCTCGTGCTTGGTTTGCCCGATTCACCAATTCAGTAATCAAGTGCGGTTATACTCAAAGTCAGGCTGATAATACAGTATTCACAAAAAGATCCGAGAAGAAGATTGTTGTACTTATCGTATATGTTGATGACATCATTCTTACAGATAATACAGTATTCAATGAAGTCCTAGAATGCGCCAGTAAAACTCAACAATTCAACAGACCTACTCACGGAACAGTGGTCTAAAAAAAAATTAATTTCATCAAACATGGTGGAGACTAATCTTCTGATAAACATTCTCATTCACATGAGACATGCACCAATGAATGGATGCATCAACATGCCTACACTCAGAGAATGCTGCAAATGTGCTTCAACAAATAGTAATTGAGGGTTCTGAAATCATTGTGAAACTCATTGCAACACAAAACAAGAAAGAAAGCATCGATGAAAGAAATGGACATCAGCAAGTAAAAAGCTTGTATTTGTCATTAAAGAGTGCCACTTCCTAGAAGAAAGTGAGAAAGCTAGGTGGTTATTTCTGCTTTAAAACATGGAAAAAGAGGCATATCTACGTAATCGCTAGCCTTTTTTCTTCTTTAATAAACGTAATCGTTAATGAGTTTGTGAAGGTTTTTTAAGAGATAAAATCACTATATGAGGCAGTGAACCACGGTTACCAACAATTGACAGAGGCAACAGCAGATTTAATACAATAAAGCACAGCCATAACAAGTGTTAAGAATATAAAGAAAATAATTAACAAAAAAGTTACCAGCCTCCTTGGCTGCTGAGTTTGCAATACGTTGAGCCTCTTGAATGGCACGTCTTTCGGCTTTAGTAGTCTTCTGTTTCAGAGATCTCACAGTTCCAGTCACTTCATTTTGAGATTCTATTATAGTACCCCCATTCATCACTGCAGGTAGTTCCTTTATCAGAGTTCCAAACAGTTGCATGCGTGCTAGGTGACTAAAAATAAAAAAAAAAGTCACTCAAGGGCACTACGCGGCTGGAGAAAATAAAGGAGAATTAAAAAAACAAACTCTTATGAGCAAATTTTGAGAAAATATTAAATTCAACAATGGCATAAATCTCGTATTGAATCAAAACCAGTTGTTTGAAGGGGTCATAATCAAATTTGGCCTATGCTTTAAACACCTAAAGGTACGGTATGACGGACCTTCTATCAGCATAGCAAATCAAGAAAATGATGGAGAACTAAAAAAACAACTCTAATGAGCCAATTGTGCTACATGGAATCAAGTCTTGGCAATAAAATAGTCATTATAGCAACTTGAGTGCAGAAAAAATTCAATTTTTAAGATTGATGTTTAGAACTGTGAAGCTAAATTGAGAAAACATTAAATTAGAGGAATGGTGGGAGTCTTATATATTGAAGATAAAACAATAAAAAAATGTGGTTTAGTCATGATCAAAAAATGGCAGAAGATGCCAAATAAAACAAATAGAGAAATTTATGTAGAAATATTATGAGGGAGGAATACTAAATTTAAGGTTCTATGCCTAGGAGTGGTGCCAAAAAAATTTAAGCTAATTATATTTAACACCATATCAATTGCTCCTGTAATTGATCCCCAAACGAACTACCATGGCCTCCGCAACAGAATATGACACGCATCCAAAGGAACCACGTCGCACCACACTTGCTTCTGTAACTGATCCTCAATCAAAAATTTAACCAAGCACTGTTGATCTACGCGTATCTCATTTCACTTTTTCAACCAAGTAAGGGAGTAGGATTGAGAATGTTTTTGTGTTTTTTGTACAAGTTTCTTCATCATCAACGTGGTATTACATTCTCATAGCTCTCACCGCCGATAATCAAACTGCAAACCTTGCCCTTCAATATGCACTTGGTACGAAAAATACTATCTTAGCCATGAATGATCATTTGTTGGCTCGGCCTATAAGAATCTCTCCCTAGTCCCCCTGGAGCTGAAGTTCCTCCTTTACATTCTCCTTTGCTTACTCTTCCTCCAACTCCTTGACAACACCCTGCTCTGTGAACTAATCAACTCGGCTCGTGGGATAGCTGGAGGCGATGTGTCCGTAGTCGTTATATCGGAAACATCTCCTGGAAAGCATTGTACTGGGTAAGCTACCCTTTTCTAACTTTTTTCCAATCAGATTTGTCATATTATTTCTTTGTCCTGTCTTTCCAACTTCTCTAAATTTATCCTTCTCAGCGCTGTAGCTGCAGGTCATTGCCTAAACTAGGTTTGTTATCTGATCGAGGATTGTTGCCTACTATGTTTCTGTTGTCTTGCCACCTTCAAAGCTAAGGTCTGAGCATCTTCTAATGACCAATACAGTTGTAGATGCACAATGTTGTTGATGGTGGGTTTCAAGCCACCAAGATAATAGGCTATGTTATGTTCATCTGGCTCAACCAAATCACAGTTCAACTGCAACTGGTCAAACTGCGTCATGAACTCCTGCACTGATAGGTCTCTCTGTTGCAGGTGAAGTCTTAGAAATGTATCCTAATGATAATGTGGTAGCGGGTATTTTCTTTGCATCTCCTTCTTCATCTTCTCCCACATGGAAATCTTGTCATTATCTTCTCTCTTTTTCTGCCTCTATAAGTTTTCCCACTAGGAGGTGTTTTTCTTCAACTCGACGGCTGCAAGCTTAACACTTTTATCCTCAAGTACTACTTTGTACTCAAAAATCCTCTCAAATGATTGTAGTCATTCAATGAAATCCACCAAACTCTGATAGGTCCACTTTGATACCAAAAACCAAGCGTCCATATATAGCCTACTCTCGGCCTCCCCTAATACCAAAATTTAAAGTGTCGGGCTTGTTTTCCTCGTTACTGAAGTCGTACCTATATAAGGGATTCAGATTCTCGTCTCTCTCTTTTTCTACTTTCCTGATCATGACCAAGTGTAATTTTCCTCTGAGTTCCATCATCAATTTCAGCGAGAAATTGATGGATCTCTCGCTGTATCTCGTCTTCAGTAGATTCCGGCATGTATCTCCTTAATGACATGATTAGAGTTTGGGAATTGAAAGAGGTGGTTGAAGATAGGAAAGATTTATTTTGTGGGGATGAGGCGGATGCTAAGAAACTCTATAATATAGTTAAGGTTAAGCTAGCTATGATACAAAATAATATCGGATTTAACCAAAAATATGATGGGAAAATATATAGATATCCCGCTAGGGCCGGATAGAACAACCCATAGAAAAGGATGAAAGAGAATAGGGAAAAGTAGTGGAAGGTGGGAAGGAGGGGTATAGGAAGGGTCCTCGGTGTGGTAGGAAAGGGCTACCGGATGGTGGATACAATTAGAAGTGGGTAGAAGGGCTTTGTGGCCCGCCTGGAGAGCAAGAAGGGGGGTTTGCGACATAGTAGGGAAGCAAGGAGACGTTGGCAGCAAGCAAAAAGAGGGCTGGTGGAGTTTGTGACGAAAACAGATAGGGGAATCTGGGAGTCGGAATAAGTAGTGGACGGTGGGAGGGGTATAAAAAGGGTCCTCGGTGGTGGGAGGATAGGGTTAGCAGGTGGTGGCTGCAACTGGAAGTGCGTAGAAGGGGTTTGCAGGCCAATTGGAGAGCAACAAGGCGGGTTTGTGGCACGGTAGGAAAGCAGGGGGACATTGACGACAAGCAGAAAAGGGGTTGGTGGAGGTTGCAGCAGCAACAGATAGGGGGACCAGGTGATCTGGAAATCGGCATTGGAATCGGGAAGGGGGGTGTAGACTAAAGGGCAAGGAGCAGGTAAGAGGAATACATGGGAGATTAGGTAGCAATAGTCATCACCTCGGAATAAGATACAGTCAGAGCACCACCTCTACTCGAATACAGCCCTAACAAGGGAAAAACGCCGATGGAAAAAATCTGAAAACAGGAAAAACTAAACCCTAAACAGCAAAGTGACATATTTATAGTAGAAATAACTACGAGCGGGGCGGCAGCCCTCAGCCCTAAGTAGGGTCGGCCGGTTCAGCCTCCCTATTGCCGGTTCAGCCCTAGCCCACATGTCAGTATGATACGCAAATTATTAGCGCGTTAAGTTGGGGAAAGCTTCCTCAATCATCCCCATTCATCATTAAGCATGAAAGCATTTGGTTTTTAAGTAACCAGGCACATTCATGCTTGCAGAAATTCAGCGTCCCAGGCATTATATTGAACAAACTAGCCCTTTAGGTGCAGCATAAATTGATATAAACTATTTTTTTCATTTTTTGTTTTGACAGTCTTGAAGGTCCTTTCTATCATAAACATAGTGATGAGGTTAGATGATGTTACTTAATGCCGCAAGAGAAGCAAGACCAATTGAAACCATAAGGTAAAATTTCAAGTAGGAAAACATAAAGTCTGCTTATGAAGAGTAACTAACGTGACTTTCAAAGCACCCAAAAAATCCCCTAATAGCATATTTAATGCATCTAATATCCTTTTTTTAGCTAATGATTCATCAAAGATGACTTCCTTTTTTTTTTACATAATGAGGAACAACTTTGCTGTTATAGCCATTTAAAATAGAATAGTTCCCTTCCTTAGAAGTTACACTCCAACATTAAGAATAATGGGGGACAAGTGCTACAGAAAACTTCAGAGGAAACTAGAAATGGCTAAAGAATAATTTCAAGGTGGGAGAGCAGTGTGAAAACTTCAGAGGAAACTAGAAATGGCTAAAGAATGATTTCAAGGTGGGAGAGCAGTGTCCTCAATCATTGAATTTCCATACATTTTCCCTCTTAAATATGTATTCTGGCTAATCACATATGCGTCAGCAACAACCATGGAACCATTAAAAAATAATTTTAGCATTTTGACGTGGTATAGACTGTAAGAAATACCGGCAATAACTTCTAGATTTCATCTTCAAATTTAAAAACATCAAAAAACGTGAACCAAAGAGTAGAACCTAGTCTTCTAGATTTCAAATTTAAATACATCAATAACTTCTAGATTTCATCTTCAAATTTAAATACATCAATAATAGCTCATGAGTACAATTTGAATAAGAGTTTATGTGTGGCCCTTTCTTTGCTGAAAAGAGATAACAATGAAAATAAAACGTGCCATATTTAACCCTTCTTTACACCCAAACATTCCAAGGGTAAAATCACCCAATCTTATGAAGTGTGCTGGCCATAAAAGATGAAAATTTGTTGATCTCACTCAAAGTTCAAGATGAACCTTCCAGCCGAGCTCATGAAATACTCACTGGGCATATAGTAACTCGTCAACCACCAAGCTCAAAAATGGTCGCCTAAGTGTAGAAACCACATGGCAACTTATTCTAGAGAATCAACGGCTTCCTCCCTGCCATATGACTACAAAATTGAGTTCATACTTTGACCATACACCTCTTATAGTTTACGAGTGATTGGTGGGTAGTGATTTGTACTTTTTATTATTCATGTTACTTATTTTGTAGCTATTATATAGTCTTCAAATCCCAATCCAAATCTTAAAGATAAGAGATCACAGAAAGAGCCCAAGCTAATAAAATCATAAATCATCTAGTATAAATTCTTGTAGGAAACTTCTTTGGTAAAAATCCCTGCACTTCTAACTCTATAATTCTCTCTTATATTCTTATTTTTAACTTCGAGCTAAGTAACTTTTTAAATAATATACGAACAAACAATTCAAGATTCAACATCATCAAAGATGCTGTGAATACAGATATATAATAAGCTAAGCGAACGAACAGACAATTACAAAAAAGTAACTATAGAAATTTTTGTCCACATGGAAAACCAATAGTTTGTGACCGCTAGGAGACGATTAGCATAGATGGAAGAGGGGTTCAAAAAGATGATTCAAGGAACCTTGGAGCAAATTACACGAACTACTCCAAGGTTATTGATACCAGATGAGTCGCTTAATTCACTAATCAGAAGGAAAAATATGGTGAAAAAGTTACCGTCCACTTTAATAGATGATGAGACCTACTATCCAAATTTTGATGAAGAAGATTCATCTCCCTCATCTCATAGTGTGGATAGGAGCAACGAGAAGGAATCACAATTAAAAAATATCTTCTTCAAGGAGATTGCAAAGGAGAAGCCTGCTGCTAAATTCAAGATTCAACATCTTGGTTCATACAATGCAAGAATTCACCCAGTAAACCATGTCAACTACTTTGAATTCATTGTTTTGTTGCTAGACATCAATGACATATTGAATGACAATATATTTTTTTATAACATTGAAAGTATCAACCCTTAAGTAATTTTCTTATCAGTCACTCAAAATGATTACATCACTTGTCAAGTTCATGTGAATATTCATAACAAAATTCTCCAATGCATATGGACTTCTAAAAAATTTGCAGGTTTTGTTGAATATAAGATAGGAGTCGAGCGAGTCACTGAGAAACTTCATTTCGAGGTTCCAAGAGAATAAGCTAAAGGTTAAAGATTTGGACCTACTTATGGCTCAGGTTATCCTTATTCGATGTTCAAGAAGATCCCTTTCACCGCACAGCTGGATTGCAGTAGCCTAAAACCCTCTCCAAGTTGTTGAAAATCCCTAATAGTCACGCTAACAAGATGGATGCATCAACTTCAAGTCGACCAAGCAACATTAATTGGGCACAAAAATCTCAACAATTTCCTAGAAATCAGCAAATTGCTTGAGTTCTTCAAGACTTGGGACTTTATCGCCCTCAACGGTTATAGCACCACTGACCTCAACGGCTTCATCACCAGAAGTGTCAAGTTCAAAATGAATTTAGCAATGAAAGTCAAAGAGAAGAGAAGGCATTGTTATTGCATTCTACACAACAATACCTAACTATTAAAAGGTATACGTTCAAAATAAAGACTACTTTAAGCAACATGCTTTGATGAAGTTGAGTCCCTAAAAAAGACATTCATCAAAGTATTGTACTTTCCATAAAAACATGGGCTTAATACTAAAACATATCAATAGCTCAAAATTTTAGTTGAAGAGCTTACTAAGGCATGAGAGATGAAGAAGTTCATCATAGTGGATGAGGTACATGCTCAAAAGGTCCCCATAGCGGCATCGAGTAAGCCCATCTAAACACATGTTATTCATAGTTGCGGTACTATCCATTATTATTGACGGATCTATAGAAGCATCTCACCGAACTAGCCTTAATGAATTTAGTCGGTAGAAATGAACTCAACCACTACTTCAAGGAGATCAAAAGTAGGGATAGCGCCTTTAAATTTTTCGTAGCTAATAGGTTTTTGAACGATAATCTTTACAGCAAAGCCATTGTCTTCACTGCACTAATCACAAATTATTAAATCAGCAAAATAGGTGAGAGACAAAAAAAAATGAAGACATGATTGCTTGGCCAATCATTTGGGGAGAAGGAAACAGGTAGTACAAAGCAAATGTTGGCTTCATACATTCTAGCAATTTCTAATGCTATTCTAAACAGTCTTCTCCACATACCATGTTGTCGTTAAATTTTTGACTGGAAGTCAAGTGGTGACCCTAAGGAGCAACTTGGTGCAATCTAGATTTGTCATCTAAAAGCCATAGGAAGTTTCCAAGAAAAAGGTTCTTGATTCGAAGGTCAATAAGATTTAGGACTGGAGACTCAAACGTAATAAAAGGAGTGCCAATTAAAGAAGATCAAAAGTGCACTATAAAAAATAGTACTTACGTTGATGGTGAAACAAGACTAGGTTGGATCAAACACTAAAAGAAATCATAGAAGTTGTTTCATGGTTCACAGCCAAGATTTTAGGTGTTAAGTTTTATGTGACTTGCCATAAGCTAAATATAGACCAAGAGATCAAGCTGATTAAATAGAAGACAAGGGTTATTGATGCAACACGCACTAAGCTTATTAGCAATGAAAAGTTATTAAAGGCTGCATACATAAAGAAAGAGAAGTACATTGAATGGACTTCAAAAAGTGTTGTGGTGCGAAGTCAAATGAAAAATGAAGGATATGTTTCTACTTTATAAAATTGAACTAGATTTGCCACAAAAAAGCTATCTATTTTCAAGGATCGATATTTTAGTTAAATCTGCAATTGAATTCTCACTAATAAGTTTTCTTATTGCATAACCTAAGTAGTATCAGATAAGATACATCCTATAGATTCTAAATAGACAGTATTCATTACAGAGGATAGGCTAAATTGCTACAATGTAATGCCTTTTTGCTTAAATAATATAGAAGCAGCCTACCATAGGATAATAAATTTAGTGTTTAAAAAGCAGAGACTATGTATATTTGGTAAAGAGTAAATAACCTGAGCAACATATATTTACTTTGAAAGAGAAATTTGCTACCTTTAGAAAATATGGTATAAGCCTTAACCATCTCAAATATACTTTTGTAGTATGATTTGAGAATTTTTCTAATTTCTACTTGCCCTTAAGGAATTAATATAATCTTGGGTAAATTAATATAATAACAACAATAAAGCCTTAATCCCACTACGTGGGGTCGGCTACATGAATCATTTTTCTCCATTGCGTCCTATTTAGTGTCATATTTTCATTTAGTTCTAGTAAATTAAGATCATTTTAAAATAAAATCAATTTAAAGATGTCATCTCCAAAAACTTTCAAGTTATAAAAATTGACTAGTCAAAATGCAGGGCAAACTCGGTTCATTTCAAAGATTGGAGAGAAACGTTCACCTTTTTTAGAAACACTAATAAGTGCTAAGCACTTGTAATGGAGAGAAAAATATGAGAAAGCATTTTGAAAAGTGAAGTTGATTTTATCCTCGCAACCTCTACTGCAAAACCCACAATCTACTGAAGACTTGCTTTTATACCTTAAAGTCACATAAACAATGCCATTTTTTTGCATCTGGGAGTCAATAATATAATCAATAAGAAATGCACCCTGATCTTAAAGCCACCAATAAGCCTACTTCAAACTACCCAGATAAACTCAATTTTTTCTTTTGTGGCAACTCAACAACTCCTTTACTTTTACCACTTTAAAAGATGACTCTTCTTTCTTTTTTATCTTAAGTCTTCTTCTTAGTCAACCCTTTATCAATAATAATTTTCCAAATTTGTAAATGTTCCTTTGCTCAAAGATTCAGTCTCTGCAATAGGAACATAAAATTTTGAGACTGCAATCGTTGGAGCAGCGGTCGTTGCAAAAGTTGCTGAAGAGATAATCAGAGAATTAATAGGGGAAAGATGCTTTCGGGTCCTCCTTTTCAGGAACAGGGGGACAATAATCTCAACTTCAATTGGAAAAAAAGATGAACTAGCCTTGAAAAGCATTATTGCATATATCGCCACCTCTGTCGGATGCCAAAATTGTCTAGACATTAGAATACTTAATACTCCTCAAACATGATAATCAGCTTTTTTATATTTGCTTTCATTTTTCTTTAGAATATATTTCAAATAACTCAAAACCTCAAGGGTGTCCAACCCGGGTAAGCATTAGGGTCCGCTAAGAAGTAAGAAATTTATAAATTCAAAAGGCGAAACAACGAATGTAAATAAGTAAATGAAAAACTGATCGAAATACTCACGAGAAAGATGTTTCTTAACCACTTGGGAGTTTAGCAAAATGTGAACATTCAGCCCAATCTTTTTCAATTGAAGGAATTTGGCATGCTAGTCCTTCTCAAGTCATACAAGAGGTGCTCATCAAAAAAATAGCACTAGCAAGATCTCACAAGTCCATTATGAAAGCACTTAAAAAAAACAAAATCTATCTTTCTAATTCTTGTTTTGTTCTCTAGACCCAACATCTTAATATGCTTAGAAAAGAACAAAACACTCCCATACATAATGCTTCTATTGTGAAAAGATGTCGAGGGAGGGTTATAGTCAAATATATTTTCTTCTCGTGCAAGTTAATGATAAGAAAATGGCCAAGATAACTCCATGTAAACAAATGATGCTAAAAGTTCTTGACACAACAAAAATAGAAGGCCAAGTCTAGATTGGACATCCATCCACCAATACCTTCTTCAGTGAGATCCCATAAAATTTAAATTTTTAGTTCAAGCTCGCAAGTCAGTTGCTACCACTACAATCTGAGCTTGAGCTCGTCATTCGGGCTCAACACGAGCTCGAGCTCACAATTTAACAACTGAGCCAAGTTCGAGCTTGGAATGTCTCTTGCTCAACTCGACTCGTTTACACCCCTACTGAGTGACGCCCTCCCATCTCCGTGCGTTCATTTAAGACTGAGGTTCTAGATGGAGTAAGTCTGAATGGACTCGGTCGGGCCTTTCCCATGTGACCTCTCCTTTTGAATAAGACATGAGATATCGGCCACATGAGCTACGTTAACATGGGCTAACGCATCATAAGAGTGTACAAAAACAATACAATGACAATAAAAACTAAATTCCATGCCCATCCTGCCAACAATCCATCCCTCATTCAACTGTTAGATGGCACAAAAAAAAGAAAAGAGGTGACTAAATGAATTCCAACTTTTTTTAACGCAGTCATGCATTTGATTCTAGCCTAGCAACACTGTTTCCAATGCACAACTTCAACCTCTATTTCTCACAAGCACAATAGCATGAATCTCGCTACATACCAGTGACTCCCGGCAGTATTTTTACTACCGAAGCGGTCGTCAGCGAGCTCTTGACAGGAGAATTCCCCCCACTCCTAGCATACATCAACGTCTCCTCGTTGCTCCCAGGGAAAGACGCCACTTCCTTGTCGGACCCCTTCTTTCCGAACCACGCAGCAGTTGAAAACTCCTCCGAGAACTCCAAGTCATCAAACCGGCTGCTCGACGGGGACAGCATCTCCGACGTGCCCTGCATGTACTCCGCCGGGTTGAAGCTCCCGATCGGCAACTGGACTGCATCCCGCCGGAGGGGCGACAGGGGACTGTGAACGGATACAGGGGCCGCAGCTGCTGCAGCGCGGCCAAGGGCACCGAGTCCGTCAGCGGAAGCGTAACGATGTGGTGGGATCATCATAGGGGAGAAGGGGATACCGCCGACGGTATGGTCGGGCGCAGTCGGGGAGGGGATCATACCACTGTCAGAGGTAGTGGAGGTTCCAGTGTCAGCTGGGACGGACTGGGATCTTGCCGGTGGAGGGTCAACGGAGGTGAAAAATCCGACCCGACGTACCTTGGGGTCTGCGACCGTGCGTGGTAACCGCCGGGAGTCCATGGAATGGCTATAGCTCGGGATTTGGATATCAGAAGTGGACAATTTACTGGCTTGAGTTTCTGTTAAGCATTTCATCGCTCAGGGTTAAAAAGGAGATGTTTGGCAGGCGGATCGGATTTATCGAAACGGGATTTACGCCTAAGCGGAAAACTATTGAAGTCCTCGAGGGCCTAAGATTTATTTTGAGCTCATCATGAACTACATTTACACGACGTAAAAACTTCTACTTTTAAGTGCTTCATTTTTATCCTATCTGAGAGAAAATATTGCGTCAATATTGTAGGTGTGGATTGGTATTATGATAGTATTGTGATACAATACCATTATAAATACTATCAAAATATTATTATGTGTCTTTTTAGTGATATTTTGGTGCTATTGATGTCATTACAGTAAAATGTCACTATAAGTTCATCAGAACACTCAACTCCACACCTAATCCTCACTCTTCTTATCTGCATGTAATGTTTCCTTCAAATTCACCAGTGTTTAGCTACAACTAAAATTTAAATTAAATAGAAAGTACCAAAATGATGCTACTACAGAGTGATGTGAGTTTAAAAATGTGAGTTGTTATAGTGTGAGCAGTGTTATGCCACTAGGACCCTCAATAATGTCCAAGTGAATTACACCACTACAAAGAAGAAACTATTGGTCATAATGTTTGCTTTTGATACGTTTAGGTTCTACTTAATAGGAACACAAGTCACGGTGTGCGTCGATTGTGCAGATATCAGGTACCTTGTAACTAAGAAGGATGCCAAGCCCCGTTTTATCTAATGGGTCCTCTTGCTATAAATATTTTAATATGGATATTATTGATTGGAAGTGTGCATCAAACCAGGTAGTCGATCACTTGTATATGCTTGAGCAGAAGCATTCTCAGTAGTATATTGTCTACATAAATGAGTTTTTTTGACTAAAAACGCCTCGCCATTTAACAAACATCATTATCGACAGGATTGTCCCTTACAGTCTGAATTACCACCGGCAAAAGAAGTTCTTTTCGGATACTAGATTCTATCATTGGGATGGTCCCTATCTTCTTAGGAGACTTAAGGAATAAATTCTTAATAGATGTGTGCCATCAAAAGAGTTCAACAATATCATAAAATTTTGACATGATTTTGAATCTTGGGTGGGGCACTTTGGAAGCCTTAGAATTGTTGCTAAGATATTACAAACTAGATTTTATTGGCCTTCCATGTTTATGGATGTGAATGAATATATCAAATATTGTGATAAATGCCAACGGGTATGCAAAATTTTAAATAAAGATGAAATTCCCCTCAAATTTACCTTAGAAGTGGGAATTTTTTATGTTTGGGGAATAGACTTCATGGGATCATTCATACTGTTCTTAGGAAACACCTATATTTTGGTAATAGTAGGCTATGTCTCCAAATGGATTGAAGCTATAGCACTGTCAAATTGTGAGGGTAAGAGTGTTTTGAAATTTTTAAAGAAGTATATTTTCTGTCAATTTAGAACACCAAGGGTGATGATGAGTGATGGAGGCAATCATTTCTATAATAAGAAGTTGAAAATAGTAGTTGCCCAATTTGGAATCACTCATAAGATAACTACTCCTTACTACCCATAAGCCAGTGGATTAGCTGAGTTGTCTACTAGGGTCATTAAGCAGATTCTATAGAATACAATCAACCCTAGTAGAAAAGACCGATCACTTCAGTTGGATGAATCATTGGGGCCTTATAGATATAACTACTCCTTACTACCCATAAGCCAGTGGATTAGTTGAGCTGTCTACTAGGGTCATTAAGCGAATTCTATAGAATGTTATCAACCCTAGTAGAAAAGACCGATCACTTCAATTGGATGAATCATTGGGGCCTTATAGAATTGACTTTAAGACCCATAGATTTTTCACCCTATAGGATAATTTTCTTAAAAGATTGTCATCTGCTAGTGGATTTGGAACATAAGGCTTATTAGGTAGTTATGGAATTTAATTACAATCTAAAATATGTGGCAGAAAGAAGATTATTAGTTGAATGAGTTGAAAGAAATTAAACATGAGGATTATGAGAACACCAAATCTATAAGGAGAGAACGAAGAAGTAGCATGATCAGAAGCCGATTAGAAAGGAATTTCAACTTGGACAGAAGGTTCTGTTGTACAATTCATGATTAAGTTTTTTTTCTAAAAAATTGAAGTTTAGGTGGTCAGGATCATTCACTATAGTAAAAGTGTATCCATTTAGACCCGTAGATATTCAGGGTAGGAAAACAAACAAAATTTATAAGGTTAATAGACAAAGGTTGAAGTCGTACTCAGGAGGAGATATGAAAGGTCCTAAGAAATTCTGATGTTGGAGTCATTGTGATAGTAGATCTGACATCATCTGGTTGAGAACATTAAACTAAGCGCTATCTTTGGAGATAACCTGGGTGTTATCTTAATATTTGAGTGTTTTTTCATGTTGAGTAGAGTTTGTTTTTGTTGTGTGTTGTGGTCTTATTTTTTTTCATGTGTTTTGTTTAGTTGATTTGAATCTCCCCGACATAATCAATCTCTACTTGTGGGGTAGGAAGGACAAAAAAATAAGTTAAGGCTAATAGAAGGCCCGACACACCCACACCGCAAAGTGAGTGCCCACACATTCATCTGACACCCCGCACCACATCCACAACCAGCCAATGCTCTTCTTTTCATCAAAAGAGGGATGGGGGAAAGAGCGGTGAATGCACAACAACTTCCTAGTGCACTAACATAGGATCCAGTACACCTGTGTTGAAACTCCAACACACTTGCACCTGACGCCACATCAGTGCGCCCTAGGCACCCCAGCTCACCTGCGCTTGAAATGCAGTGCAACTAGGCATATCCTCAGTGCAAAGGCACGCACATGCCTTGATCACAGTGCACCGCGTCGACTCTTTATAACCCCAATTTGGGGCAAAATTTGACATTTTCCCCAGCTTGCATCTTTGCACCAAGAGTCACCAAAGCCTTCCCCCATGTCCGTAAAACACCTCTGGCCACCGTGAAATACCGTCAAATACTCGAATCTACATCCTAAGCTTCGGTGAGATAAGATTTTTGTGTTTGAGCAAATTTTCACCGTACATTGTGGTCTTTCCTCATACATTCAGTTCCAAGTTCAAGACACCAAAGACCAAGGTTAAAAGGAGGATGCATCCTTCGCCGTCAGAAGTTCATGAGTGTCATGCTTCCAATCACTACAACAATCTTGTTGCCTTAAGGAAATTGATCCTCCAATGGGTGTTCTCGCAACTTGAAGGGTGGATTACAAAATTTGTTGGGGAGAGAAGATGACAAAATTTGTACTATACTATTCACTCATCATAGTCCCACGAACTCCTCACCAACATGAAGGACATTGTGGAAGACAAGGTTTGTGTGGGGGAAATGGGTGGCTTTTGACCTCATCATGATCAACTTATTTTTTACCATCTCCAAGGTACCATAATTCAAATAACCTTTCACCTTGGACTCTGATTATGATAAAATTAATAATTTTTTCACTAACGGCTCAACCTCATGACATTGGCAGGAGGATATAATTATAAATTTTTCTATCTCCCTAATGAACAACGAGTTTAACGTCTGACAGTATTTCATTTATGTCAGGATCATGCCAGCTATGAACCTCAATGAAGTCACCAAGGACTTTACCGCTCTAAGCTTTTGTATTTAAAGAAGTATTTTGATTGATATAGACTCGTTCCTTCCTTCCTACCTAGGTCACATTATTATTGGTGGTACGACTGTAGGACTGGATCTTCCTCACCTGGTCACCATTCTTTGTAGCATTGCTAATGTTCCTAGTGAGAAAGGTGAAAAAATCTTACACCCCCCAAAACCCATAACTCCATAAATTATTTGGACCTATGAGCAAACCCTGACTTGGGAGAGGAGAGAGAGCATAAAGTTTAGGAGATCTTGGTGCGAGCCCATTGAGGCAGAAGGAGTCGCCACCTAAGATGGCTAGGATTGTGGGAGAGTTGTCCAAGAGGATTGATGATTTGGTGAAAGACTTTACTGTACTGTGTTGTAAGTTGCAAAAGATTCACAAGCTGTCAATACATTAATTTAAGCAGCAACAATGACAATATGAGTACTAACATCTGCACAATGTTGTTTAGGTAGAGATGTACTGGAGACAGGGATGGATGACCGAATCTGAGCCCATAGATTACCCACCACCATCACCATAAGAGGTGTACGAGTCTAATAAAGAGTTCATGGATGTGGATGATAATGATGATGTTGATAAGCAGTTAGGAGTTGATTTGATGATTTGGTTGCACTTGTTTTGGATTTCTTTATTTTTTATATTTTTTTATGTTTGATTTCCTGACACTATTGATTTTAACTCTATGCCAGTTTTTAATTATTTTGAAGTATTTGTGTTTCCTTAAGATGTTGGGGATACATACATTGTTTGAGCCACTGCATTACACCTTCTTTCCTATTATTATTGCATTCTTATGATAGTTCATTCCCTGTTCTACAACTCCTTTTTCTTCTGAAAATCTATTATGTGAGTAGAGCTGGATATAAAATAAGTTTAAGAGGGAGAATTAGACACATGTGGTAGCCTCAAAATAATCTTATTTCTTTGCTCATATTTGATTCGATATTTTTATGTATCTTTGATAATTGAAAGTGGAAGGTAAGAAGTGTTAAATCAATATGAAACCTAGTTAAGGTTGAGATTGAAGTGTTTTGATAATCAACTAATACTAGATGTTAATGTTTTCTTCTTCTTGCATAAAAATTCCAAAACATTTGAAAAAGTGTGCTTATAAAATGAAGTAATTGATCCACAATATTTTTTAAGTCTGAATTTTTCTATTCAAATAATAGTACTAATCTGATTTCCACTAGATTTATACGCTCACCTGTTTTTATATTAAGGGGTAATTAAAAATTTACGTAGGGAGCACTAGAAAATTAGAATTCTTAAGAACTCCTGCTTAACCCAATATAGCAATTCTCCCATAAAATAAGAGGAAAAGAAGAAAAAAAACAAATGAAAAGAAAAAGTGAACATTGACTCATTACAAATAAAAAGATTGAAAGTAAAACAGCCAAACAAAAAACCCAATTGAGAAGATGCTTAAGGTTAAGCATCAGAGTAATTCAACATTG